ATGTAGTTTGGATGGTATAACTAATATGAAAATATAAGAATAGTAGTAAAGATAGTATGCAAAGTTTAGTAGTATGTAATGTATGTAGATAATAATATGTAGATAGTATGGAAAGTATAAAATAGTGTGATTAGTATGAAAAGGTAGTGTAGTAGCATGAATTGTATGAACAAAATAACAATATAGGAGTATAGAACAATATATAAATAGTACAAATAGAACAGATAGAATATTAATAGAAGATTAATAGTAACAAAAGAATACAATATTATGAATAGGATGAGATCGTATGTAATAATATAAATCATTCGAATATGAAATAGTACTAAATAATTAACTAACATTTAAATGAATAAAAGTTTCGGTAAAAGTGGGCAGCAGATGTGACTTGAATCTTAAATAAAAGTGAGGACTAGGCTTAATTATCGCAGTGCCTGCATGATAGTTACAGCTTATTAACTATGCTCACGACATGACAATGTAGTTTAAATATACGGGTTGCCTAGCCTTGTTTTGTGCAGTGATGATGGAACTGAGCTGCAAACTTAGAGGTGAGTAATATGCAATAACAGCTATGTATATTTGCAATAATAATTGCCATTTAGGAGCTTGCAACTTGTGAGAAACATTAAATGTGACTAAATTGTAATATCAGCAACAAGTCAAAGGGCTCAACTTGAGACTGCTCGACTACGAGATTCCCTCTAAGAGCTGATATTCCAATAATTCTTCACACTCAGGACACTTCTAGTACCTAAAATACGTGTTCGCTTAATTCAGGTGCAAGGGGCGTGGTATCTATTTATCTTTATTACACAGTAAATGTGACACACCTTCCCTTTACGGTCAATTTTGACCTGATATCCAAAATATAACATAAATAAAAATTGGACATAAATATTAATCGAAACTTTAATTCATTATCATCTTGAAGGTTTTCTGCCACGCGCATTTCTTAATTGGCCGAACGTATTTTTTATACCCTGAACCCATTGAAAATGGGAAATCAGGGTATAATGTTTTT